TTAGTAATTTTAAATTAAAGATCCCAACTTTAATTTATAATTACGTACAAGTTTAGATTGTTTTACTTCAAACATTATCATCTGCATATAACACTTAATATAATGTTCAAAGTTACATCTAAAATAATCTAAGGATTTTTAATATTTATAAAACATCACTTGTATGCAAAATAATATTGAAAAAGGTTCCTCATTTCATTAATAATTAGCAAAGTATTTACATCTTATTTAATTTATGGGTATATACCCTGACAATAATGTAATTAATGCTCACCAAAGTGTTGAAAAATTATGTAAATGCTGAACTTGTGTATGACCTATGTGTAGACAGGGTTAGCTTCAAATTTAACCGCTGAATAATAAGAGTTGTCTAACTTTTCTTCCTACAATTTATAAAATTGCACAAATTTAGTTCCCGAAATTGCAATTCTGATACTTTTATCAATAAAACACTAATTATTTAATAATTTAAACATGCGTGGGCCACATGACTACTTGACAAGGGGAAATAAAATAAATTTAAAACAAAATAGTCATTAAAATTTTGAAAAGCTAAAAAAAAAAAAAAAAAGGTCGCAAATACTTTACTCACCCCCATTATTACCTCTTTTTTTCACTCATAACCCCTGCCATTATTATTCTCCTATATTGTCTTTTACAAAAAGTACGTGTTTGAAATTATTAAAAAGGTCAATTTTGTATCATTTTAAACTATAGTGATAAAGTGAGACAACCCGATTTATCTTTAGAGGCCAAATTTAATATTTACTGAGATAGATATGTTTGAAGTAAATGCATTTTCACCAAATTAGATAGATCCTGTAGCTTTACCACCAACTTCAACTCTGTCTCTTTATGTAGATGTTGGAAATTGCAGTCAGAGTCTCTTGAAGTGATCTGAGAGAGGATAAATTATAAGCTAGCAAGCTAGGGAAAATTAAAGAAATAATATGCAAGGTCTAAAGTTATACTCCATGATGATGATGACCTCTAAATCATCTCCTAAGTCCTATGGTTTTGGTCTCTCAGTGCCATTGGCAAAACGTGCTAGATCTCAAAAGTTCTTCATCACCTCTACACTTGCTTATAACACAGAGTGAGTACGCGCCACTAATTTTTATTTTTTGCACACGCACTCGAGAACTCAGTTATCACTAGAATGAAATGGCTAGCTAATTAATTGTGTTGATTTTGATTAATTAGTTACAGAGATGCGAAAAAGTATGGAGACGAAAAGAAGTTTAGTAAAGAGATAGCACCAGAGAAGGCTGAGATATTCAAGTCAATGGAAGATTGGGCCACAGGTAACCTCTTGCCTCTTCTGAAGCCAGTGAAGGAGTGTTGGCAGCCACAAGATTTCTTGCCTGATCCGACCAGCTCGTCGGAGGAATTTCATGAACAAGTCAGAGAGATAAGGGCGACGACGGAGCAAATCTCCGACGATTACTTTGTCGTTCTCGTCGGCGACATGATCACTGAAGAAGCCCTTCCCACTTACCAATCGCGTCTGAATGGAACAAACTTTTATCATGACCAAACCGGGGTGGATCAAACGCCATGGGCTATTTGGTCAAGAGGATGGACTGCTGAGGAAAACAGACATGGAGATCTTCTTAATAAGTACCTCTATCTCTCTGGTCGAGTTGACATGAAACGAGTTGAGACTACCATTCAATACCTCATTCGCTCCGGAATGGTACTCATCATCACTACATCAATTTACATTATTTCTTTAATTTAGAGCGTCTTATATTAATGTATATCTATAAATTGTTATAAAAACAACTACTAACTAAGCATTATAATTTCCTACTTTTGCATCTTTACATGTAAATACATGTATTTTATTGATCTAATTATATTCTCAATATCTAATATTTTTAGTTTTTTTAATTATTAGTTAATACTGATAAAAGTTTCTGGCTCTGTCACTGTTTAGGATATCGGCACCGGAAGCAACCCGTACCTGTTGACTATCTATACATCATTTCAGGAAAGGGCAACAGCAATCTCTCATGGAAACACAGCCAAACATTTATTAGAGATTCATAATTAATCGCGTTCCGGTCCTTGTAAAATTTTGAAAAGCTATGAAAAACGACATGAAAGTGCATATTCCAAAATAGCTGAGAAGATATTTGAGCTTGATCCAAACGACATGGTTGTGACCTTCGCAGACATGATGAGAAGGAAAATCTCAATGCCTGCTCATTTTATGTACGACGGTTGTGACGATAACCTTTTCCAACACTTCTCTAATGTTGCCTCTCGCATTGGTGTCTACACAGCCACGGATTACAGACAAATCTTGGAACATCTGGTGGCCAAGTGGAATGTCGAGAAGCTTACTGGGCTTTCAAGTGATGGGCGAGAAGCCCAAGATTATGTCTGTGGGCTAGCCCAGAGGATTAAAAGGCTGGAAGAGAGAGCCCAATCCAAGACCCAAGAAGTAACGCCCATTTCTTTTAGCTGGATTTTTGGTAGACAAGTATGATTTTGTCTGGAAGTAAAACTCTGGTCTTTTGTTTTCTTGGGCAATACACTGTATTTGTCGATGACGAAGTTCCAAATTCCAATATATTTTAAGAGTTTTGTTTTTTTTGTTTTCCTTGTTATTGTTCATGACTTTGTTAGTTTATGAAGTTGGAAAGGTCGTCCTCAGTCCTTTGGGCAGATATAAGGTAATTAAAACTGACCAATGTTGGCTGTTAAAAGTCTAGGCCTAGCTACATTAAATATGCAAGCCTGACAGCTAAAAATATCTACATACAATATAATAATTAGTTGTAAGGGCTTATAAATGTTTGAGACTAGTTTTTCAACGAAATTAGCTGTACTCTGCTTGCGGCATTCTGGCTTGGGACGGAAGTCTGACTGTTATTTTGTACGGTGGGAAATAAAATATATTTGTACAAATATCATTAATGATCAGTACTATCATGTTTTAATTTTTCAAATATTCATGGCACATTACTATTAGAGCACATGTAGTTAATTAGGTTTTCACTTGCAATTTGGTAACGTATCATAGGATTGACAGAAGGAAAATTATCTTGCGCAAATCACATTAAAATCGCATTAGAATAAAAAAAAAAACATGTACATTAAACATAACATAATTACAAATCTCTAACATGAATAAAATCCTAAAAATCGTGAGATGATCATGTGAATATCACTTCAATATTTACATTTTCAAAAATAATTATTGTCTGAGATTGAAAAATATTTTCATTTTCATTTTCATACAAAAAATTGACATTAAATAAAACGATTTACAATATCTAAATCGTGTCCTGAGTCGAGAAAATTTCCAGGAAGAATATAAAACACAGAAATGTAAATAGAAAATATTTAGAAAATTGTATTAATAAAAAGAGGTTATAAGCATAATTTCTGTACAGATATGATTTTATTAATCAAATAAGGATAATGATTAAAATATTTAGAAAATTATCCCTAGCTACTAAAATCCCACAGCTGTTTAAAATAATTATCCGTGTAAATTTAGATGAAGACATAATACAAAATGAAGGAAACAAATGCACGAGTAAAATAAATGGTGTTGCGACCCAGCGCAAGAAGAGTAGGAAAAAGACAGATCATAAAAGCAAAACATGTGCATACCATGCTTATGATTAAGGAGGTAGAAGATGAACAAGTCAAGTATGTAGTGCTACATTTATTTCTTAGCATTTCTCGTACACTTCTTCTCATATATATCTAATACGATAAATATATGCAATGCCATGCACATGTCTATGTGCGATCAAGGGAGTAATACTCACTTGATTAATTACATATACAGGTCGGTTTCAGAAAAATCTCAGTGTGAACTATACCCACTTGATTACATTTATTTCTTAGCATTTCTCGTACAGTTCAATGCTATAAGGCGTGTTGTTAATTACATATAGAGGTCGGTTTCAGAAAAATCTCACCGAACGACGTGTGAACTATACCCACTTGATTAGGTTTTTTTTTTTTTTTGAAATTTATTTTTTAGAATCGTTTACCTTTTTTTTCTTTTAAAAATAGTAGTTACGTTCTAAATCAGAATAGTACGAACACCAAACGTAAAATACCATAACGCATTTAGCGACTCAACCCTCCATCACAAACTGGATCCACTATGTGCGATCAAGGGAGTAATACTCATACCAAGTTCTAAGAAGAGAACTTAAGAAACACACAACTATTCGAGCACATAAACGGCTTTCAAATACACCATTATGATCTGTGGATAAGTCCGATAAATCGAGATCAAGATAAAAACACTAAGGCCTACCAAACACCACAAAGAATTATTAACTTGCAGGCTAGACACAAAGACTAAATTGGAAAATGGGAAGATGATCTCCGTTATTACAGACGTAAAGCGGAAAAAAAAAAAGTCAAAAACAAAACTATGAGAAAAAATCCAGGCAAAAGAAAAAGGAAAAAAAAGTACACGATCATTTCGTTCATATAACTCAATATATACGTATCCAACATTTCACTCTAAAATCTTATTTCTCTCACCAATTTAGGCTTCAAATATGATTAGCGTTTCCAATTATTAAAATCATTTAGCAAATCTTATCACACACAGATATATATATATATATATAATCAGTGACATGAAGGGGCTAATAACTACAATAGAAATTTAAGAAGACATGAGGTTTATTTTCGATTTTTCAGAGGGGATTTTGTATAATTTTCTAAAGCTATACTTATATATACATAGGTAAAAAATAAAAATAAAAAAAAGTTGAGAGGGGGCTTGAGCCCCACCTGCATTAGCTACGTCTCTGTACAGAGTAACCGTTCATTGATTTCGGTTTATTTTTATAAGGAAACAGTTTGCAGTTAGGATGTGGTGGCCGGTGATAAATGTGTTAGTTAAGTCATATCTATGCATGAGGATGGAGAATAATTCAATGCAGTTAGCTAGATTGCAAACTTGTATATATATAAATAAATGCATATAGCATAAGTCATTCCAAATCCAAGTATACTCCAGCTAGAGCTAGCTCAAGAAAATGGTTCTTCAATTGAATCAGCTCCTATGCTCTTTTGAGTCTCTTAAAATTAGGCAACATGCTTTTGCTTTTCCACCGTTAATGTCGTCCAAACAGCTTATTAGATCTCCAAAGTTCTTCATGATGACCTCCACTCTTCAACCTCATGCGAATAAGTGAGTGCTGATCATCATGCTTTTCATACATTAACTCTCAATATATTTAGGGCTCGTTTAGTTCGCTGATTCAAATTTTTAATTCGAGTTGAGATGTGACGTTATGTGAGAGCTTTTTATTGTAGCAAAAAAGTTAGATGTGACTGTTTCTGAGAGCTTTTTACTGTAGCAAAACTCGAATCGGCGAAATGAATGAGGCCTAATTTATATACACAAGTATAATAGTCGTATATCTTTTGTCGTGCTGATATTACGTATATGTATATGTATGTATGTATGTATGTATATATATATATATATAATATGCTACGTATCTTAATGCTTCTATATGCACTTTGGTTAATTTTTGGGCTTGTTTGTGGTTCTAACATACAATCACGGTTGGAGCCACAATATATTTTCTACGAAAAAATGAGAGATAATTCTTTATTAGATATGAGAGGACATAGTTATAAATTCAATTATTAAGTGGGAATATAAACCATTTTTTAATATTAAAATTTTAAAAGGGCCCCTACTCAACTTTGAGGGCTCCACCACTGATCACCAAGAAAACTAGTGTAGGCTGCTAAATACTTAACTTGTATTGTTGATTCATTCGTTGCTGTATATAACCATATTAGTAGCAGGGATTATCTGTGATATATATATATATATATATATATTACATTAAGATCTGAGAACTTTGACCCCATCCTTTTTGACTCCTATCATCTTTCATAAGCTCTCTCATTCTTTTAAGATTACTCTCTCTAGACTTCTTTAATCTCTTACGATAGAGACTTAAAATTCTTCAAGCTCTTCAAAACTTTAAGTGTAAACAGTTTTGAAAACTCTCTTAAAACACTTGTCCACTTATTTCCACTACCATCACAAAGTTTTTTAAAGTTTCTTCACACATTTTCCGACGACGTTCAAATCTTCATTTTCAGAGTCATTTCCGCTCACCTCGGAGTAAGTGCTCCGAGCGTTGTTCTCACTCCGAGAGCAACACGCGCAGAGCTTTATCCAACACGCGCAGAGCAACATGCAATAATATAATATAATGTATCAAGAAAATGAAAATAATAAATATAGTAGGTACTGAAATTAAGCTACGTACATGCATTGATTTGTAACTATGTTTTATTGCATGCTTTGTGCCGTAGTAGTAGAGAGGCGGAGACTAATTCGAAAAAGTCTTCAAAAATTTGTCCTAAAAGAACTACTAGTACCAGAAGCAACTGCTTGCTGATGCCACCCGAGAAGGCTGAGATATTCAAGTCAATGGAAGATTGGGCCACAAGTAACCTCTTGCCTCTTCTGAAGCCAGCTAAGGAGTGTTGGCAGCCACAAGATTTCTTACCCGATCCAACCTCGGAGGGATTCCATGATCAACTCAGAGAAATCAGGGCAAGGACGGAGCAAATCCCCGACGAATACTTCGCCGTTCTAGTCGGCGACATGGTCACTGAAGAAGCCCTTCCTACTTATCAGTCACGTCTTAATGGAACTCATGTATTTCATGACCAAACAGGCGCAGATCAAACTCCATGGGCTATTTGGGGAAGAGGATGGAGTGCTGAGGAAAACAGGCATGGAGATCTTCTCAACAAATATCTTTATCTCTCCGGTCGAGTTGACATGAAACAAGTCGAGACCACAATTCAATATCTCATTGGTGCAGGAATGGTAATTATAATGATTGTTATAATTTCATCATTACAATTTATCTCACAATATCACGATATATGGAACCAATTATAGTACTTTACAAATTAACTATATATCTTAATAATTATAGTGCATGAATATTCAATGGCTTTCTCACGCCCTCATGGTGTTTATGATGATATTTATTCCGAACTTTCTTATAATTGCCAACAGTATATATAATCGTCTGAACAAGCAATATTTCGATCACTTTTGTTTTGCGCATATTATTAGGAGATCGGGACTGGAAACAACCCGTATCTGTGGGCCATATACACATCATTTCAGGAAAGAGCAACAGCAATCTCTCATGGAAACACAGCCAAACTTGCGAGGCAACATGGGGACATAAAGCTTGCCCAAATATGTGGCATAATTGCTTCTGATGAAAAACGACATGAAAGTGCATATACCAAAATAGCTGAGAAGATATTTGAGCTTGATCCAAACGACATGGTTGTGGCCTTCGCAGACATGATGAGAAGGAAAATCTCAATGCCTGCTCATTTTATGTACGACGGTTGTGACGATAACCTTTTCCAACACTTCTCTAATGTTGCCTCTCGCATTGGTGTCTACACAGCCACCGATTACAGACAAATCTTGGAACATTTGGTGGCCAAATGGAATGTCGAGAAGCTTACTGGGCTTTCAAGTGATGGGCGAGAAGCCAGAGATTATGTCTGTGGGCTAGCCCAGAGGATTAAAAGGCTAGAAGAGAGAGCCCAATCCAAGACCCAAGAAGTAACGCCCATTTCTTTTAGCTGGATTTTTGGTAGACAAGTATGATTTTGTCTGGAAGTAAAAGTCTGGTCTTTTGTTTTCTTGGGCAATACATGGTCGATGTTGAAGTTCAAAATTCCAATATATTTTAAGAGCTTTTTTTTTTTTTTTTTTTTTTTTCCTTGTTATTGTTCATGACTTTGTTAGTTTATGAAGTTGGAAAGGTCTTCCTCAATCCTCAGTCCTTTGGGCAGATATAAGGTAATTAAAACTGATGTCGGCTGTTAAAAGTCTAGGCCTAGCTACATAAATATGCAAGCCTGACAGCTAAAAATATCTACATACAATATAATAATTAGTTGCAAAAGCTTATAAATGTTGGAGACAAGTTTTTCTACAAAATTAGTTGTACTCTGCATGTGGCATTCTGGCTTGAAATGGAGAGGAAAGAAGAATACTAAATGCAATGTTCTCAACCATATTATAAACATGAATTGTGAAGATACTAAATGCATGAAAGAATGAATTGTGAAGATTAATGTTCTCAACCATAATATAAACATGTATATAATCTTGCGTGTCAGCAAATTATTCAAGACTCAAGAGTATGGATATAGTTGCAGTTGCAGTCACGCAGGATATAAATGTGTTGGGTTTAATTTAACCAGCATGCATATATATATATATATATTCACGATTGATATCTACGATGTAAAATAATCACGGTTCTTTCTCATCTGCAGACACACTCGCACGCACTTGTACGTGTATAGTTAGATGCATGGAACGTGGTTCCGTGAATTAATGAAAATAGATAAAATATAAATATGGTTTTTCATTTCACAACTTAAGAAAAATAGTGCAATGAAGAAAAAATTGACATGCTTTTTTTCCCGGTTTATCCTTTTTATTAATTTTTTTCTTCGACTAATTTTTTATATACATTTTTCTGCTTGTTATTTTTATAACTTACTCAAAAGTTTTGAACGTACTTAAAGTTTATGGAAATGTAAAACTTAACTGTATGAGCAGAAGTAATAAAACAAGAAAATCAGGCATGACAAAACTTTGAATTCTGTCACCAAAATGTGGTCAGATAATTCAACATTAAAACAAGTAGATGGATAATATGTGGGGTTCTATAAATTACCAAGCACCATTAATTACAGATAAGTCACATGCTAAAATATCCTTATAATTTTAAAATTCATTGATGTTGAGACTGATTTTTCTTGATGATACGTATACCCCCACAAAATTAAATACTTTAATTATTAATATTTACTACGCGTTTACTATCATTTGTTTACATAATATTTACTAATTTTTACTCAGTATGGGCACTATAAATTTAGAGGTAAAATCATTTTAGTGCCATGTATTACAGCAAAACATATTCTTAGTATCATGTATTTTTAATAATATTATAACGGTACTTTGACGTTTTTAAAAATATTTTCTTAGTATCCTTAAGCTAATTTTTAGGACATATAATGTTCAAACTATTATTCTTATCAATTAAATAAAAATTAGTATTTCTTAAATATATATATATATATGAAAATATTTTAAGACATTAAAATATCTAAAAGAGAATAATAAAACCAAAGGTTCACTTTTTTTTTAGATCTATTAGATTTTTATTAAATTAAATAGAATGATATTAAGATCATTTTAAATTTTAAAAATTAACTTCAAGGTATCAAGAAGATATTTTTAATACGATGAGTTATTACTTTAATATTATTAAAAATACAATATATCAATAACTTATTTTACTATAATACAAGGTACTAAAATGATTTTATCCCATAAATTTATATTGTACGGAGTTGTAAATTGCTACGTTCTTGTTTAAACTATGCCTTATTAAATGATCTTAGGCCCGGAAAGTAAGAGCCTTTTATTACTGGATGCTGTACTTTGTATGGCGCAGAAGATTACATGCAGTGAAAAGCAATTATATTTATTCGTACGTGTACAGTATTATTGGCATGCATGTCCCCAAAGTGTTGATACTCTTCATTAATATTTATGGTGTTCTTCATAAATATTGATTCATTGAAGTTTTTTTTTTTTTTTTGGTAGTTTGATTCATTGAACTTGAAGTTTTAATATTTATTCTTTTGTCAGAATATTTTCATTTTTTATTATTGAGACTTTCTTGTAACTAGAGTTTTTATATTAATAAGGTCAATTTTTAATGATTATATCTAATTAAAATTAAATTAAAATAAAAAAATATCTAGAATAAATAATTTTTGATACAGATCTTACAATAATTTATTTTTTTCTAGTACCAACAGAAAAACTATTTTTATAATTATTTTGTTATATAATCATTATGACTAATAAATTGACCTGTCAGAGTATGATCGCATATATAATATTATTAACGATCAAGATATTTGACCAAATACAATAAGAGAAAGATCTCTTCTGTTCTAATTCTCTTAACTAAGTTATTCGTCTTTCTTTCCTTATTATTTTGATCTCTCTTATCAAACATATCTTAATTATGTTTGGTATAAGGATTCCCTTCTAGATCTCTTCATATTTCCAAAATTTAGTATTTTGGAGTTTGAAATTGCGGTTCCAATTCATTCTTTTATTTCTTATGTCCTACCAAATAAGCACATGTCTCAAAATCCTTTTACTAATCCCTCATTCTTCTCCGTCCCTTTAATTTATTTTTCTTTCACACCAAACAACCTAGTAATTAGAGTCTTTATGTTACTAATTATTGCTGAACATTTAAACTAAACCAACCACTCTGACTCCACATATACAACTAGACATTTACAATTACTATCTACTTCTTATTACCTTTTCTCTGAAGTACAAACTGTGATATAAATGTATCATATATTGTCAGGCTCTCAAGAAAATAATTATATATAGTACTGTTTATTACTCGAAATACGAAAACAGCTTTTACTCGGATCTGAAAACATAACTATACTACCTCAATTGAAACAGTTCTAGTTATTACGTATTCCCATTTTCCTCTTTTTGTACATTTTTACTAGTTGACGGGTTTGCAGCACTTTTACCTCTCGAATTTTTCAAGTTTTTGAAAATTTTTGTAAGGGTGAAAACTACGATTAAATTTGTATAAATCAGTAAAAAAATAAAAGAAATAGGAACACAAAGATTTTATAGTAATTCTCCTGATAACCTAGGATACGTTCACTGTAGAGTCTTCGGTAGTTTCACTATGACTGAAAACTACGATTAAATTTGTATAAATCAGTAAAAAAATAAAAGAAATAGGGACACAAAGATTTTATAGTAATTCTCCTGATAACCTAGGATACGTTCACTGTAGAGTCTTCGGTAGTTTCACTATGACTAAAGAAGATGATTACAATGGCGTTCTCTGTAAATACAAAGAGAAGAAAAATACTAAAAAGTATGTAAAAAAAAAGAGTAAATATGCTTGCAGGGGTGAAAGCGTGTGTAAGAATGCGTGAACCCTTGTCTTGGACGCCTATGGTATGCATTTATAGGCTCTTGGTGGGTGAAAATAAGCTTTTGGGTAGTTTTCCGTTTGACTTTTGATTGATGATCCTTTAGGAAATCTTTCCTTATAGTGATGATGCTTAGAGAGCAAATATGTGGGATGATTAACTTTTTTCTTTGCTTTTCTGGACGTGATTCCTTAGTTTAATACCAAATATAATTGCTGGAGATGAGATATTTGTACTTAATTCTCGGATGCTGAGCTGACATGTCTGTTTGACTGCTCGTCTGCGAGCTGCTGGATTGGTCGTTCGGGCAGCGTTAGGACCCTGCGAGCTGCCGACTGCTCGAAGCCTGTTTTGATTGGCAATTTCATAATTTGATCTCATTCTCCAAGACACATGATGACATATGTACGGTTAAAAATGAGGAACAAAATTTGACTTTAACAATTTCTATTCTGAATTTAAAAAAAAAAAAATTCAAGTTTAACCATTGTTTTTTTTGCAATTCTATTATTTAGGACAATAACATGTAGGACACAAAAAGATAACCTGAAAAACACATGAAAGTGTATTATTCCAAAATAGCTGCGAAGATATTTGAGCTTGATCCAAACGACATGGTTGTGGCATTCGCGGACATGATGGCATCAGAGATTATATTGGCCAAAGGCTAAAAAAGTGTTCTTCATTGATATATATCTTGTATATTATGTAGATACAAACTGCGTATATACAGTTTATACAAAACTAAATTAGAATCAATACATACAACTACAATTAAAATCTGAAATAAATTAGAAAAGAGATCACGATTGTAATTTTTAATAATTGTTTACTTGATTTTGCTTGATTCGTGGGATCTGTTTTTGATTGAGAGAGTTTTGCTTGATTGATAGAACTCATATAATTCAAACCATGATATTTAATTTTGGTGTTTTAAACAGTGTCTTACTAACCACATTATACCAAATCATTTAAAAAATTAGAAATACTTTTTTCATGCTTCAATCTTTGCGTTCATTAAATGAAATGACATAAAAAAATTAGTTAGACATTATTTGAGACACCAAATTAGACAGGTGATTATCTAAATTTGTTGGACACTTATCATATATGTATGTATTATATTTATATATGTTATAATTGTTGGTTTCTCAAACTGGATTTTTTAAAAATAATTGTACGGAAGCGTTGTATCGATCGAATCACATAAATCAAAATTTAATGCAATCATTATTTTATGTTAATTTAACTACAAAGAATTATGTTCACAAAATTTGTGTTGTCAATTGATATAGTCACTACATACGAATTAAAACTCCATGAACGGTTCATAATTAAAGCTAGGTATTTTTCGTTGAACTCTTTAATTATATTTTTCTCCATAAGTACCATTAATCCTCTAATGAATAATATAATTTATGATCCAATCATAAAATTGAGCACTCTTATTATTCAAGCCCCGAATCAACACTTATAGGAACTGTAACACCCTGGAGAATTAATTAAGATTAATTAAGGTAATTAAGATTATTAGTGTGCCTAATCTGGATTATTAATTGAGTTTAATTAATAAATGTTTCTGACACGTGTGAGTTTAAATAGTTCCAAGGTATTTAAATTATTCTCAGTAATTTATTTTAACCCAGAAGTGTGTATGGGCGCATTTCTGGATTGTTCTTTTAAAATATTGTACA